AGTGACAAACTTTGTAAAATGATCAGTTCGAGCTACTAGCTTTGGTCCTAGGAAGGAGCTTAAAGGGTCAGTTCAGTACACATTTCAATGTTTATTTATTTGATAACAGCATTATAGATTGAATTAAAAAAAAGTAGATGTTTATTTATTTCAAGGTCCTAAACAAGTGTTTTGACTGTGGTATAAATTCAAAATGGCCATCAGTGAAGTTAAAAGCTTATTGATAGAAACCCAATGGGAGATATTTAAAGTTGTATTTCTGGTAGTATTTTTGTCAATGAGAAAAACAATCTTTACCAGATGCATTGCAAAATGATATCACTCATTACTGGTACAGTCTAATTGTATCCAATTATGTTTCTTTGGCAAATGAAGTATCTTACCTTTTGCCTAGTTGTATTTTAAGGAATAAATTATGCCTTTAATTTATCTTTCAAGATAAGAATTAGTATTCTGAAGGAAATGTAAAAAAAAAGGCGGTATTTGTATAAAATGCCTGGCAGAACAGGATAATTACACTCCCTATTGCACTGTGAAATGTCTTGTTATATGAATGAAATAAGTGCCACAAATCAAACCATGCTTTTAAACAATATCTTTGATTAATTGATTTTGGATTTAATGTTAAATGGATCAGTTAATATATGGGACCATAAATATGTCCATCAATAAATACTTATATCACCTATACTGCAAGTTGTTATTTGTATTTTATGTAGAAAGAAAGATTATATTTTGTTATGCCCACCACAAATGTGGATGGGCTATGAAATAGATTAACCCTTGACCATCCATTCTTATATCATCAGAGGCCTGGTTTATGTACAGAACAATAAATGAAAATGAAAGATATATACAGCAACAAACCACAAACACTGAACTACAGACTCCTGACTTGGGACAGACACAGACTACATCTTAATCTAAACCATTAACTCCTTAATAGAAAACAACCAAATGTGACATATAAGTCCGGAAGTCTTCAAGGAAACATAATTCAAAATACATTATGCACCTATTTTATTTTTTGATGGAACTATAATGATGTTCGAGGTTTCCCATGTCAAACTTGGAGGAAAAGTGGAGGAATCATTTTTTAGGTATCTAATTATCTAGTTGACTAGTTCATTTTGTTACATAATGTGCCCTATAGGCATTAGACAGAGGCGGATTTAAGGGGGGGGGGGGGGGGGGCAGGGGCCCCGGATCCCCCTTTTTTTGGGAATAATTTGGTTGATTATATAGGCAGTCAGTAGGCCCCCACTAATGAAAATTTCTGGATCCGCCAGTGTTAGATCTATAAAGGAACATTTTCCCCATATAATCTTGGTACTTTTCCTTCAAAATCATCTAGAATGTTCCCTACAATATAAGTCTGACTATTCTAACAATAGTGACTTTGATAACTGAATTCGACAATCATTGAGTATCTGGATGGGGTCTACAGCATAGAGAATAATGGATAAAAAGTGCAAATTAAATTAAGGCCAAAACATATAAAGAATAGAGAAAATCGCCAAAAAAAAAAAATAGAAAATAAAGGAGTGCTAAAACTTAGGAATAGAGAATAATGACATAAAGATTTAAAGAATACAAAATAGAAGGTTGAAGGACCCCCTTTCCAGACCCTCATCATTCAGGTCCGCCTTCCACTTAAATCTTGTTTTACATTTTGTTGCATTATGTATGACAGTTAATAATATGTAAAATTTGATTTAACTTAGCGAATGATCTCATAAAAAATTCATCAAAACTTTCAAAAATAACATAAATTTATCATTTTCATGAACACCATGACCTTAACCTTTCACCTTACGAATTTACCAAATGACCTTAAATTCAATGTTGGCCTCCACTTCACTTAGGGGTACTGTTAATCATATACAGATTTTCATTTCATATAGTTTAGGCCAAAATACGGGAGAAAAAGTTTTTTTTTTCAAAAATTACCTTTTTTGGTTGTCATGGTTTCACACTTTTGGTGATCTATCTCTCTTAAAAGGTCGGTGACCCCCACTTTATTTTTGCTTTTTCTGAACTTCACTACCAACTCTCTAAGAATGGAAAGTATAATAGAAATCTGTAATTTTGATTTAACTTAGCGAATGATCTCATAAAAATTTCATCAAAACTTTCAAAAATAACATAAATTTATCATGTTCTTGAACATCATAATCTTAACCTTAACCAAAATGACCTAAAATTCAATGTTGGCCTGCACATCACTAAGGGGTACTGTTAACCATAAACACATTTTCATTTCATATAGTTAAGGCCAAAATACCGGAGAAAAAGTTGATTTTTTTTTCAAAAATAACCTTTTTTTGGTTGCCATGGTTTCACACTTTTGGTGGTCTACCTCTCTTAAAAGGTCGGTGACCCCCACTTTTTTTTTTTTGCTTTTTCTGAACTTCACTACCAACTCTCTTAGAATGGAAAGTATAATAGAAATCTGTAATTTTGTTCTCTCAGTAGGTTAAGATGAAGGCAACGCAGGTGCAATTTTCCCTATTAGTCTTTGTAAAAATTGTACGATTTATGAGGGGGAAACCTATTTTTTTAGCAGTCTGTAACTTGCTTAGATGGTCGGTGACCCCCTATTTTTTTTGCATTTTTTTAATCCATATGTTAAGAGGTTTCAATCAACAAATTATAAGGAAAAACTGTAATTTAAATTTTATACCCTCGAGTCTCCTTAAGTCATTTTCTGTTTGACGGTTGTCCAAATCACATTTCATTTGACGAATCATCATGTAGGTGAACGTAATTTAATCGATTTATGATTATTGACGGTATACAACTGTGGCCTATATTTAGGATGCAATGTATGTAAAACCAAACAGAAATGGTGCACTAAGAATTCTAGTTGACCTGAAATTAAATTATAACAATAACCCATGCTGAATCAAATATATGCACGAATATGCACTGACCGGTACATAGCACGACTATAATTATCTATTAAAAATTTCGAAACACTGATGCCTTGAAGAATGTACTAATAGAGCCTCAACAAATCAAAATAAATGTACTAATGTAATAGTAGCACTGTAAACGTCATACAATGGCAATGGCACTACGCACAATAATCTCTATAGTCAATGTGTGTTAAATAACAGTCGTTCCATACAATAACGTAAATCCTAGAATGTTCTTCCTTTATAAAAACTTTCTAGTTGCAAACAAACGTTCCAAAATAAAAGGTTACAGCAACAAATTGAATAAAACAATCAACAGCGGCTCCGTTAATCGTTGTAAATTAGTCGAACTCGTTGATGTTAAATCTGAAATACATTGATGCTTGAATTAATTATCTAATAGTTTTCCATTTTTCCACGGATGTTACCTACTGAATTAAACTCTTAACCGGGTTTGTACTAACATGAGCAACACGACTGATGCTACTTGTAGAGCAAGATCTGCTTTCCCTTCCGGAGCACCTGAGATCATTCCCTTGTTTGTTGGTGTTCATATTGGTGTGTTTTTGTTTTCTGAGTTGTATATTGTATGCAATTGCTTGTCTTGATTTTTGTGTAATTGTTAAATAATCAATGTATGCATATGTAATCACTTGTATGAAATTTAACTTTATTGTATTGCTCAAATTATTGGGCGTCATATTTGACAAATGAATAAAAGATGTTGTATTGAATTGTCTGTTGGTCTTTTCATTTTTAGCATTGTCGTTGCCGTTGTAAACTTTTTGTATGCCTAAAAATCAAATACAAACGAAAAAAAGACACTGACATGCTTATACTATCATGATTTCTTCATTCATATTCTCTGTGAAAATGTGTATGTAGTTGAAGTTGTAATTGGATAAAATGTTTCTCAAGGCAACTGCATTATAACTGCAAATTGAATATTAATATAATATACAATTGAAATTTAATGCCAAAATAAAATATATTGCAGCCCCCTCAACATTTGTTTTAGAATAATACTAGATAAATACACGATGATGTGTTTGTTTTCTAGACTTGACAACTCAGATTTCTTCATAAAGTTTGGTAAAATTGTTAAAAAGATTACTTAATTTGTGAGGTGTCAAATTCAAGTAAGGAACATGTTAGTTGTTTACGCCCTATGATTTATTATATGTAGTGATATTTCTATAGACGGTGGAGATGGTGGCCCTTTTTTTATTCTTAGTGTAATCGTGGTCCTACCTGATCTGCTTCCATTAAGACTTGTGGTAGGGGGAGATTCTGTTTTGATCTCTAATAAATAAAATCATATGAACAAGTGTAAAGACATCCAATGGATAGCGATGAAAAAAAACAACATGGTTGCAACGAAATGATGAAAAGAATTATACTGTTGAATAGCATATTGTAAAGTATTAAATAGTATACATGTTAACACAAGAAAAATTAGGGGTAGACTAGCATTCGAAGAATTAAATGTCCTTGTTTTCTTTAATGTACTGTGGCTCCGGACACAACCTTGACTTGTATATTGGTTTAAAACCATCAACGATGAACCCATGTGACAATAGCAAAATCAAATGGAAGTTTTCGGAGTTCAACTATAGGTCATACACCTTATCGCTATTTGTCCGCCATTACTGGAAATCACACAGGTTCCCGTAAAATTTTGACGTCACAATATATAATATCTGACGCCCCAATGGAAAAGTGATTGTGGTATGACGTCAATAGTGCAAGCGGGACAGATTATCGGGTCAGCCGGGAATAACGATAAGTTGTATTGTACTCAGCATATTTGTGAAGTATTGCTTATAACTACGATTTTAACAAAACTCATGATAGATACAGATTATTTAAAAGCCATAGTCTTAATGGGCTAACATTCTCTGTATATATGCCTGACACAATCTTGAATATAAAAACTATTCCTTAGTTTTTCCAGTTAATGCTATTGAATATGTTTTATGATAGAAGTCAGCCTATATGGTCATTACGGTTTTAATATTTTTTGTAGTTACTCCCATGTCTATTATTCCTGTTAAGAGTAAAATGTCTACTTCCAGTACTTACCTGGACTAGTTGTCGTTGTTGTTGTCGATTATTTTTGATTAATGAGTTTGAATGTTCCACTTGTATCTTTTGCCTTTCTTTTTCATCATTCATGTTAACTTAACTGATCAGTAGCTTGCAAAACTTTTCTGTTGTCTTAAATCACTAATCCTAACGGGCCATTAATTTGAAAACTAGTTGATACAGTCAACACCATCGAAGACGTTTTACGATATTAGTCAGCCTATATGAACATTACGGTTAGAATACGCATAATTATATTTTTATCAACTTTGTCTATTTTTCCTTTTGAGATCTAGAGTACAATATCTACTTTCAGGGCTTAGACTAATTCTGGTCCAGAAAAAAAAAACAAATTACGGTCCTTCTGCATTCGGGGTATTTTCTTGACATGTCAATTAACGAACGAGAAACAATTTGTAGGATTGTAACAGAAAAATGTAAAACAATTTTTTTTTATCAGTAATTACAATTGGCAAATGCTATGTTGCTTTCGTTTCTTTTTTCTTATTGTCAAAACACAACATTTGTAGAAAAAATCTGCTTGCTGGATGACATGAATCGTGTCGGCACAGTTATTGTTAAATAGTAGCAAAGATTGTAAAACTACTAAAAGGATATTCAAACTCATAAGTGTTCTACAATGTGACAAAGCCATGACGATAAAACGAAATACGACTGGAAGAAAATCTAATAATCGATTTATCGGATTTAATTTGATATTTTTATGACAGAAACAAGTGGTGTCTTTGTTTCACGAGCAAACCAGAAAATTGTTTGTAGGTAAAACTTGTCAACGTCGGTCCATTCATAATGACGTCCGTTATATAGCCATTCAGGCTGCGTAAACGTACTAGAGAGTCAAATTGTAAACAAGCATATCACTGACACTTCCCAGCTTAAAGCCTCTTCCGAACATTTGAAAGTTCCTATTATGTACTGGTTACTTAAATTGCACAAAAAAAAAATTAAATTCCGTTTCATCTCTGCATCTAGTAAGTGTTCTACTACCAATCTATCAGTGCCTCTAACTACCTCCCTTACTTCTATCAAAGAACTTGTTATTAACTTTTGTAATAATGCTTATGAAAACAATGGTATTAATTATTTTGGAGTGTTAAAAATTCTTTAGAGGTTTTAGATAAAATACATGCTTTTGATGGTCCTTTTAATTCTGTTGACAGTTATGATTTTTCTACTCTCTATTCTACACTTCCACACAATCTTATCAAGATAAAGTTTTCGTATTTAATTGAATGGTCTTTTGAAAAATCTCCTTGAAAATTTATTTGCCGTAACTCGTTTAAAGCCTTTTTCTGTATCGAAAGAGGAAAGTATGCTAGATACACTTACTGGAAATGTGAAGATATGATTGAAGCTTTAAATTTTCCCCTGGACAACATATATGTACGTTTCGGCGATAAAGTGTATCGACAAGTAGTAGGTATTCCTCTGGGCACTAACTGTGCCCCTTTAATAGCAGATTTATTCCCGTATTGCTATGAATCTCAGTTTATGACCAAACTCAGTAAAGACACGTCATTGTTACATTTAGTTGATTCATTCAACAATACCTTCCGTTATCTAGATGATATTTTTTCGTTAAATAATCTAGAGTTCTCTAAATATACTACCGAAATTTACCCAATAAACTTACTTTAACTAAATCTAACATACACAGCAGTAGTTGTCCTTTTCTAGATTAGGACATTTCAATCTCTAAAGGAAAACTCCATACGAAAATTTACCACAAAAGAGACCGCTTTTCATTCCCTATTGTTAATTTTCCTTTTTTAGACGGCGATGTTCCTTTGGCTCAATCATACGGTGTTTATATATCCCAACTCGTTCGTTATGCCCGTGTGTGTAGTGATTTCATAGATTTTAACGAACGTAATCAATGCATCACTGGTAAATTATTAAGTCAGGGATTTTGTTACCATAAATAACGTAAAACTTTTACTAAATTCTTTCATAGATACAAAGATTTGATTAGTTAATTTGGCTGTACCTGTAGAAAACTGATTAAAAACCATATTTCACATCCTAAATTTTACGGTAATATTGTACTTAAAGCGCGGAAATCACTATGTGATCCGTGTAAACTCATCGAACCTTTAAACAAACTTATTAGTAAAGGTTATCTTACCAATGTTGTAATTAGATCTTTGAATATAGTTTACATTGGCACTAATATCGATTTTGTCATCAGCAAATTAAAACATAACTAAATTTGTATTCTTTTCAAACGGGATGTATAAAGACACACCCACGTTCATTTTGATCTATAAAGAGGTTAAACTCCTAACTATCCTACTGCCTGTCGATACATTTATTTTTGGCATTGCACAAGTCATGCCTTCTTTGACTGTCCATGACGTTAAAATACTAAATCCCTGGGATGTGTTTTAGTTGATTTTAGTCTCTGATGCATGATTCTTTATTATTAATTGTTTTTGGCTTTTAACTAGCTGTCAGTAACTGCGAGTACTCTCAATTCGTACTTTCTTGTTTATTTGACCTGTTGATACTAATTGTAATGCTTTTTTGTTATTTAATGTTATTCAGGATTATATCTTGTTTATAAACCAGCTTTGATAAGTGTTTGGTATTACTATAAATTTTCACTTCGTACTATGAACATCAAAATTATTTATTTTGTAAATATATTTCCTTTCTCTATTTGAATTGTACACGTATACCTAACAACAAAATTATTTTCATTTACCTGTGTTTAAAGTTATTGCGAATGGCTTATATTTTTGTTCGAGCATATTGTTTTTCTTATATTGTTTAACATTTCATAGCGGTATAACATGTTACTTTTATTATTCTTCCCTTAGTTTATTTATTTTGTATTTACATTGTATCATAGGTCAAATTTATTTGTTCAGTGTATGTTCACTGCTGTTAATATGTCCTTTGATTGAGTTAAGCTATTTCAGTTGATATTTTATAGTGTGTCTTTCTATGTTTTGATGTTACACTATTGTTTCAGAAAAAAGATGAAGGTTTGGTACCATTAAAACGTTTAAACCCGCTGCATTTGTTTGCACCTGTCCTAAGTCAGGAATCTGATGTTCAGTAGTTGTCGTTTGTTGATTTGGTTCATAAGTGTTTCTCGTTTCTCGTTTTTTATATAGATTAGACCGTTGGTTTTCCCGTTTCAATGGTTTCATACTAGTAATTTTTGGGGCCCTTTATACCTTGCTGTTCAGTGTGAGCTAAGGCTCCATGTTGACGACCGTACTTTGACCTATAATTGTTTACCTTTATAAATTTTGACTTGGATGTAGAGTTGTCTCATTAGCACTCATACCTCATCTTCTTATATTGATAGACGTCACCAAGTCGTGATGTCTAATTATAAGAAACAGACACTGGTACCACCCATGATGAATTTTCTTGTCTCAAATCGACTTTCTGAAAATTTTATCTCGTTAATTTACCCTTACATCATGTTGAGGTAGACTGTTTACATTATTTCGACTTATTTCAAGTTTGTTTTCTAACTGTCATATTATGAAATTATCATAAAAGATTGTGTCGATAATGGAGAACCTAATAGATAAAAAAACATTGACGCACACTTCCAAAATGTACAACAGATAGTTGTTAAACATTTGGTCATTGTATGTTGTACTAAAATATCGCTTTCTTTGTTTTATTTGGTTAAAAGTCGTTTTTTTTTAAACATAAACTTCCTTCATTTGTCAATTCATGTATAAATGGTGTTTGCCTTCTGTATTCTGACGTATAAACACGTAAAGGATGGCGAATATATAATATTTGACATTATTGTTAACTGTTACTTTTCAAATAATCATGTATTTGTAGATTACTACCTGGGCAATCGTTGAAATCATAGTTATATAACAATTTTCCGTCCTCTCACACTGCTTCTGAACGATTTCCGAAAGTAAGACCATGTAATATTAGCTTTAGATGTTGCATTTTACAGCTGATGCAGTTCAGAAAATTATTAGCTAAGTGTCTATAGTAAAAAAAAAGAAATATTATCGTTTTATTTCGACAATTAAGATTTCTCAGTAATAACACAGTAAATGCTAATGTTAGATTGTATATGATATAGTTTCAGTTCAAGGTGGACATTTTAAAACTACAAACAAAAATAAACCTCAAGTATACAACTGGAACTGTCCACATTGTTTTTGGTTCTTATATTTTTCATACCGTTTGTCCTAATTATGTAGGAAGTTTTATAGTTTAGTATCACTTTTGATTATGCAACTTATTTCCATCGTTTAATACGATTTGGATGATATCCAGTATACTCTCCAAACTCATAAGTCGATAACAAAATGAAACACAATAGCTCAAAATGATAGACGATCAAAAGACACTCAATTTATGTAAAGCATATATATATCCCAAGGCAGTCACCCACCTCGTGATGGCTTGATCTCAGTTGAATCATAAAACGACATGGAACCTGAGGTATATCATGTATATCGTATACATAGGACAATAGTTACTCTACAAAAATGTATGTGCAGGCGCTTCTAGAATGCTGCGTCAGAGAGATTGAAACCCTTTGCTTCAAGTTCCGCATTATCAATATCTAGATGCAAGTCATAATATTAGGAAGACTCAACTGCATCTGAAATTGTTGTGCCATTTTTGATGGAATAGTTTGTATAACGCTGTTAAATTTGATCCCCTAATGTGACCTACGAAATACAGATTTGTCACCGGTATTGTTATAACATTGACAACAGGATGGTGACCATGTGTGGAGCAGGATATGCATACACTAAACGAGCGCCTGAGATCACCCCTAGCGTCTAGTGGTGTTCGTGAAGCTCCACCTTTTACTCTTATGCTGTGTTTTGTTTATTGTTGTTTGTCTTTTGTCCTTGATTTTTTTCGTTTTGTTGGATGATATTGACACGAATTTGATTATGTTAGGTTCTATAGACATTCCTCTTTTTGACTTTACATTGAAGTTATATATTTTTTTTCACAGCTTTTTTCCCCATGTCAGAAAACGTTTACTTTGACGAATTTCTCAAAACATAATAAATGTAGACCTAATAGAAATAAAATTGAAAATGGAAATGGGGAAAGTGTCA